TCCTGCTATGACCAAATTCAAATGAAGTCCGCCTAGATAGCTTGAAAATGCACTGGGCACTGTGTGCAGGACTTGCCCCACATTGGATCAGAATGAAGAAATGAAAGAGAAGGGGTTAATTACAATGTGACAATGCCAAATTAGAAGTGTTATCTCCCTCAAGTCTATGGTGCCCTCTGGCAATTAAAAAAGAAAGAAAGAAAAACATATATAACTATACATGTTGCAACAGTTACAATTTTTTTCATGAACCCTATGTTAGTCATGAAAAAACTTTTATGTTGCCACTTCAGGGTGTGCCCTGAGCCAACACTTGTTTTCTCTTTAGCCCCAGCTGTGGTGGGAGATCCTTCCTTTCCAGAGGGAGCTAATAGGATTCCCTTCTTTGGCTCTCAAGGGAATCTGATATCCATAATGATGTTGTATCTTAGAAATCTGATTATTTCACTTTTTAATTTGGCAACTCTCATTTAAAAAACTTAAAGCAAGATGAACAGATAGTGTACTGGTTATATTGCCAGACTCACGTAGTTAACCGTGACTTGAGTCCCAGACTGAGTAGCTTAAAACTCACACTGGGCATGGGGCCAGCAGGTGGCATTGGTGGATGTGGGCACTGGATTCCCATATGGCCAACCGTGGTTCGAGTCCTGACCTGGCAACTTACTCTCTCGCTTTCCCTTTCTCTCTGTTTCGCTCCGGTCAACTTAAAATAATAATAATAATAATGCGATGGAATTAAATAAATGATTGGAAAAAAAGTAACCTCACACTGGGCACGTGTGTATGCATGCCTAAAATCCCAAGAGGAGAAGGAATTGTGGTCTGGCCATCCCCCATGGTCGGCCATGTGGGAGTGTCCAGCGCCTTAAGCACCACTCCACCTGCTGAATCCTATTGTTATTATTTTTAATTTAAAGCTGTTAGGATTAGGGAGGCCAACTCTGATTGTCCCCAGTCTGGAGATGCACTAGCCTTGACCCTACTGTTGCTGCTGCAATCACCTGCAGAATTTTTAGTTAGTAGTCTTGGATGAGAGACTTCTTGTCTAGAATTTCTCCCCTGTTGGGAGTAATAAAAAACTTATGTCTTGGGACCAGCAGTTAGCATAATGGCTATGTCATTGAACTCCCGTGTGGCCAACCACAGTTCAGGTCCTGGACCTGGTGGTTTAAACTCACGCCGGGCACGTGCACGTTCGTACCCAAGATCCCAGGCAGAGAATGGAGGAGAGGGGATTGCGGCATGGCCATCCCCCCTGGGTGGGTGATTTCTCACTTTCTGTCTCTGTCTGGCCAACACACACACCCTATAGCAAAAACCTCTCAAAAAATTTTTTTTAATTAATTAATAATTATTCTTTTGTTTTTGTTTTTGATTTTTGTTTGTTTGTTTTTGAGAGGTTTTTGCCTTGACACAATCCCGTCCCCTTCATTCTCCTCCTGGGATCTTGGGCATGCACACACATGCAGTTGGCATGAGTTTCAAGTCATCAGGCCTGAGACTCAAATTGCAGTTGGCCATGAGAGTCCAGCAAAGTAACTGCCCCGCCATCTGCTGGCCCCCATTTACATAATATTTTAATATACCATACACTTTTTTTGAAGAATTATTTTATTTAACTTTAGTTTAATTTGACCTGAGTGAGAGAGAGAGAGGGAAAGAAAGTGAGAAAGGGAAAGTGAAAAAGCAAGCCGCTAGGTCTGGTATTCGAACTGTGGTCAGCCATGTGGGGACCTAGTGCCCTTAACCACCATGCCACCCATTGGTCCCCACCATACACTTTTAAAATTAAAATTAATACAAAAATAACATAATGAACTCCTCCCCCCCCCATTAACTTTTCTTTCTTTTTTGCTATAGGGCATGTGCACATTCCAGGGAGACAGAGTGAAAGGAGAATGCACCCCACCCCTCCAAGAGAATGGTCATGCCACAATCCTCCATCTCTCTCTCAGGATTTTGGACACACATTCACATGCCTGGCATGTTTCTCAAGCGGCTGAGTCCAGGACTTGACCCCTCAAATTGGCTTTGTGGGATCCAGCTCCTTTATCTACTAGGCCAAAGAGCCAACCCAAAAACCACATTTTATTTTATTGTATTTATTTATTTTTGTTTTGTCATAGGGTACATGCACTCACCAGAGATAGAGATAGTGAGAGGGGAAATGAGAAAAACAGCCCCACCCAGGAAGATGGCCATGCCACAATCCCTTTTCCTCCATCCTCTTTTTGAGACCCTATGGTAAAGAAATCTCAAAAAATAATAATAGAGACATTATCAATGATGCTGTGCAGAGCAATACTGGAGCCTGAGGCAGAAGGAAGAACCAGTCATACCTGTTCTCTCAGATCCCCTTCCACACTGCAGTTGTCTGACAGAGTAGTTGAAAACATGAGTACTGTAAATTTACCATCAAGTTAACTTCTAGTTATGTCATCCCAATGGCATCTGTGTCTATTTTAGAAAAGACAGTAGTGGGGACCAGCAGGTGGCATGGTGGTTAAGGTGCTGGACACTCCCACATGGCTAACCATGGTTCCAGTCCTGTACCTGGTGGCTTCCTTTGTCCCTTTCTCTCTCTCTCTCTCTCTCTCTCTGCCTCTCTCTGGTCAAATTAAAATAAATAAATGAATAAATAAAATTAAATAATAAAAAAAAGACAGTAGCTGGATCAACCAGGTGGTATGGAGGTTAAAGCACTGAATCTCACATGACTGACTGCTGACTATGCCATTCAAGTTGGCCTGGTGGTTTGAAAAACATGCCAGGCACACATGCATGTGTGGACACAATCCAGAGAGGAGAATGGAGGAGAAGGGATTACAGCCTGCCCTTCCTCCTTGGGGAGTGGTTTCTCATTCTCTGTCTCTAACCAGTACATATACCCTATGGAAAAAAAAATTAATTCCATTTGTTATTCATTTTCTTAAAATAATTATTTTATTTAACTATTTATTTTAATTTGACCAGAAAGGGACAGAGCAAGAGAGTGAGACAGAGAAAGAGAGAGAAAGAGAGGGGAAAAGCGAGAAAGCAAGCTGCCAGGTCCAGACCCAAACCACAAGTGGCCATGTGGAGACCTAGCACCTTTTAACCACCAGACCACCAGCAGCGCCCCCCCCCCATGGCAATTTAAAACAGCAGTGGCAACAAAGCAGTGACCTACTTACTGTCCTTGTCCGTATATACATCGTTATAGCCTACTCAATGAGAAGAGGGCATCCAGACATAGCCAAAGTTATTGGAGTTTTATTGATTAAGCCAGGTGGCATACAGGAGACTCATGTCTCTCACAATCCCACAGCCTTGAGTGCAAGCTGAAAGGTGCTTATAAAGGCAAAAAATCACACTTTTTCGGGTTGACACAAGAACAAAGAGTGGTGGGCTTGAAAGGGTAGGGGTAGGGTTTTACAAGTAAAAGCAAAAGCGAATTACAGAAGCAGAACAAGCAGGTTAATCATTCCTAAGGGTATGTTCCATCCCTACCTAAAGTCTTCATGGCTCAGGGCAAGGGGTCTGGGGACTGATGATTACATTACTAAGGAACATCTTAGGGTAGGGAGTTTAGGGTTATTTAGCAAAGACAAGAGTGTTACTCTGTTTGCTCTAGGCAAAAGGAGAAAGCAAGTTTCCAGTACAGAGAGGAGTTCAAAATGGAGATCTGCTTCACATAAAGACTGCATAAGGACTCAGGGCTGCAGACAGCAGGCTTGCCACATATGTTTCTGTACCTCCAGCCCAAACTAAAACTGGGAAAACCATTATCTTAGCCAAAGTGTAGCCATTCATTTTTATATTGTGATCAAAGAAGAGAAAGTTAAAATGTTCCCCTCAAGCCTCTAAGCCTCTAGAGTTTATCCACCTTGTAATCGGCCAGGTGGATAAACTCCAAAAAGCAACAGATTTCTTCCTTCCTTCCACCCATCCATCGTTTCTTTCATCCTCTTTATTCTGTGTTGTTTTGTTTTTGCTATAGGACGTGTATTTGGGGCACACATGCACATAGCTGGCATGATTTTTCAGACCCCCGGGTCTGGGACTCGAACCACACAGTTAATCACGTAGAATCCAGCTACCATAACCTCCACACCACCCGCTGGCCCTCTCTTTATTCTTAACATAAAGCTGTGTGATTTGACGCAAATCAATTTCATTCTCTGGACCTCCTCAACCCCTCCTGGGTAAACTTTTTTTTTTTTTTTTCCTTTCCTCAAAGGTCTATGGAGTGTCTACGTCTGTGCCAGACAATGATGCCTGCACGAGGTGAGGAATAAAACAGGTACAGGTGGGGTATGAGAGGGACAGGCAATAAATAAATCAATAAAGAGAGGAAGCTCTTTCAAATAGTGCTAAAGCTACCAAGAAACCACGTGCCATGACCAAGCGAAGGCCTGGGTGCCTCGAGGAGATTCAGTGGTCAGTGAGATGAGAAGCTGGGAAGCGGTGTGACCTAAGACAGAAGACAGACTGCAGTTATAAGAAGACCTCTCGAGCTGCCAGACTGGTAGCAGTGAGGTCCAGGGAGCTGCAGCCGTGCAGGTCTGAAAAATGGGGGAGTGGACCAGGGTGGTGGTCGTGGACCAGGCACTGGGCCCTGGGACCCAGCAGAAGCGGAGCCAACAGGGTATGTATCCCTTTAAGAGTCTGAGCCGCGGGAACATGCTCGGAGGCCGCCAGGGCGGGCCGAAAGCCGGAGGTCAGCGGCGGGAAGAGCCGCCCCCTCCAGTGCGCGCGCGCCGCGCGGGGCGGGGCTTGGATGAGTCCGCATGGCCGGCTCGGGCCCCGGATGAGGAAGTGCGGGAGGACCATAGAGACGAAGAGGCGGCGGCGGCCGGAGCGCCCCCGGTAGCGCCAGGTAGACTTGGCGGCGACCGGGCTGCGGCTGCAGAGGCTGAGCTGGCGGAACGAGCGCGGGCGGTGGAGCAGGCCTCGGGGTAAGAGGCCGAGGGCCGGGGTGCCTCGGGCGCAGCCGCCCCGCCCCACTTCGCCCTAAGGGCACTCTGCGGGGAGGAGCTGGCTGGAGGGGAGCCCGGGCCCCCCGCCCTCTCGGGGCCCCGAAGGGAGCGGAGGCTGCGCTGCGGGCGGCGGAACGACCCCGAGAGAGGGCGGACGCCAGGCCTCGCGTCGGTGGGGGTGAAGCGCCTTTTCCGAGTCCGGCTCTGAGCCGGGTGGAGAGACTCCACCGACCTCCATCTAGCCAGGGCCACCCCCTCCCCAACTTCTCTCCTGCGGGAGATCGACGCCCCTTGTCGCGGGCGTACTCTCTTGATCGATTCTCGTCCGTCTCTCTGCAGAGGGACATCCCACTCGTAGGGTGCGAGAACGGGATTCGGAACTTATCCTAGGTGGGATAAGGAATAACCCCCCAAACAAGATCTTTCCCCCCACTCTGGCCAGCGCCCCCCCAGGTGAAGAGGGAGGCTCCTAACTTGCCTAAAAGTGACAGATCTTCCTTCTAAGAGACTTAACCTTCTCTCCTTTATTTCCACCTTACCCCGAGGTTTAGAGAGGAAGACTGAATTTACTCAATGGGATTAGAAGTCAGCCTTTCTCCCCCTGCCCAACCGTGCCACGGAGAACTAGGCTTCTCTTCTTCCCTTAACTCTCTTGGTACTATGAACTCTCCTTTGCACAATTAAGAGTATGGCTTTTGGAGTGTGATAGTGCAGTCCTGCCCACCACTTAACGTCTCTGTGACCTTGATTAATTGCTTAACTTCTCAGTCTCAGCCCATCTCTAATTAGGATACTCTTAGAGTTGTCACGAGGGCTAAGGGGGGAATTCGTGTAAACGCTTAACACTGCCTAAGTTTTCGGTAAGTTGTTAGTGTTATTATTGCTTTGTTTAGAAAAAGAAAATGGATATCTTGCACAGGAAAGCGAATTTTTCCATGCATGCCTTCTCCCACACCCATCACAAGGATTCAGTCCATCCTGTCTCACCCAAGAGGAAGATTTTCCCCCCACCCCTTGAATGGAGAAAGACTCTTCCACTCACCTTACTCCTCAAATGAACAAAGAGGGCCTCACTGAGAATAATTAGGAAAAAAGGTTTAGCTTTTGGAAATGGGTCTGTGTTAAAGGAATCCTAATGCCCAAAGAAGCCAGCCTTTCCTTTGTCCACAAAAAGCTATCACTTCCTCCTGACTGGTTAGAGATGTCCTCTCCCACTCCCCCGACTTGCTCTAATGACAAAAAAGCTTCCTTCTGCCTGCCCATCCCCTTCTCTGCACACCCCTCTCCAAAAGAGTGATTCCAACTCTTACCTTTCTGTTACTCTCCCAACAAAAACAACTACACTTGAGGAAAGGACTCTTCCTCCTGTATATACGTAGAGTGGTGCAGATGGTTTTTTTCCTCCTCTTCCTTTGAAAAATAGATGCAAGGGGTTTTTGTTGGTAAGAAATCAGGAGCATTTTTGCTGCGACTCTCCATGTGGAGACAAGGCTCATTCTGCTGCCTGTTAGTAAAGGGAGAAAGAGGGAAACAGCGCTGATGCTTTTGAGATTTCCTGCGCACTCCATGTTGAAGAGCTGGGCCCTGTTCAGTAAATAACTTCCTTGCCTCACTTTCAGCTTGTCTTGAGATCTCATTAAAAGATTCTTCTTTCTCTGTCCCTCAAGAAGAGGCCCCTTCTACAAACTCCCTCATGGAGGGATTGGCTACAGTGTCTGAATCTTTGGAAAAGAAAGCCCCTTTCTCAAGGTGAAAGGAGTGTTTCGAACTTCTGAGGGCCTGGTCCTTATTGTGAGTATTGTTCCTTGACACAAGCATGGCAGCGCCCAGTGTTATTAGCAGCTCCTTTGCTTTGGAATTAAAGGGAGGGAGTTCTTGAGGCTGGTGGTTATTGAGGCACATGGTATTCTGTTCTTTTCTTTGTTTGATTTTTTTTTTTTAATGTTTTGTTTAGTGCTGTAAATTTTATAGCTCCAGAACTTTTGTGTTGGGTAGTGTTTGCATGACTAAAGTAAAAGTTGCTGTATTATCAGTTTTTAGTATTGCAAAATGTATTCTAATAAGATTGAGAGCTGCAAAATTAATCTTTCACTGCTTCCCTTGTTTTCATTACTTGGTGGGAATTAACAATGCCAAATTACCTGAAGGCATACTAAATAAAACTTTTTTTTTTTTTTTTGTATGTAAAGTTGTTCTTAAATTACCTCAATTGCTGTTGCGTTCTTGCCTAGGGATTAGTCTGAGCTCTGTACTACCATTGTTGGTGACCCTAGGTGTGCTTCGCTTAAACAAAGAGAAATAGAAAAGTTATGCTTTAGAGTTATGGGGTTTGTAAGAGTGACATGACCCTGTAAGATCATTTGGTTTACCTTGTTCTGGTTTACACATGAAAAACAAGCCCAGGAAAGTTCACAAAGCTTTCACTTAACCCGCCAGAGGCCAGGCAGATAGGAAGTGGGAGGCAGGGTAGGGACCCAGGCCTCCTGGCAATTAGAATTCTCACAACTGAGCTTCTGCATTAGAAACAGAAAGATTGGGGTCAGCAGGTGGTGTGATGGTTAAGGCACTGGGCTACCTCATGGTCGACTATGGTTCCAGTTCTGGACCTGGGGGGCTTGCTGCTTTTTTAACAAATTAAATAATAATAATAATGAATTAAATTAAAGAAAATAAAAAATAAATGGGACCAGCAAATGGTGTAATGGTTACATCACTGGAATCCCACGTAGTCGACTGTGGTTCCAGTCCTGGACCTGGTGGCTTAAAACTCACACCGTGTGTGTGTGTGTGCGCGCGCGCGCATGTGTACCCCAGATCCTGAGAGGTGACTGGAAGAAAGGGATTGTGGAATGGCCATCCCCCCGGGGGTTGATTTCTCACTTTTCTGTCTCTCTCTTTCTGATAAGCACATGTGTTCTATAGCAAAAATCTCTCTCAGAAACAAAAAGAAACAAACAAACAAAAATCACAAAGTAATTCCACCCAACTCCAGAGAATTATTTCTTTCTTGAGAGATTTTTGCTATAGGGCAGTGCACTTGCTGGAAAGACAGAAATCAAGAACTCAACCCCCCCACCCCCCCACCACCAGGGTAATGGCCATGCAGCAATTTCTTCTCCTCCACTCTCCTCTTTTTTTTTTTTTTTTTTTGAGAGGTCTTTGCTATAGGGTGCATGCATTCACCAGAAAGACAGAGAGAGACAGAGAGACAGAAAGGGAGAAATCTCCCCCCTGGGGGATAGCCACACTACAGTCCCTTCTTCTCCATTCTCCTCTTGGGATCTTGGGCATGCACGCTCATGTACTCGGCATGAATTTAAGCTACCAGATCCGGGACTCGAACCACGGTTGAGTGCATAGGAGTCCAATGACGTAGCCATTATGCCATCTCCTGGTCCCCCTCCACTTTCCTCTTGAGATCTTGGGCATGCATGCATATGTGCCCAGCTTTCAAACTGTTGAGTGTGGGACTTGAACTGTGGTCAGCCATGTGGGAATCTCGCACCTTAACCACTATGCCAACTGCTGGCCCCCCAAGGATTTCTTTTTTATGGAATAATTTTACTCTCCCTATAAGTCTTAGTTCTTTTCATTTTCTTTTCAGGAATACGTCTCAAATTAGGTAACTAATATCTTCACCCAGTAAGTTGATAATAAATAAGGAGTAAGCTGTACATTTTTGGCTATATTTTATAAACACATTACTCTTTTTATTTTCTTTTTGGAGAGGTTTTTGCTATAGGGTGCGTGCACTCACCAGAAAGACAGAGAGAGACAGAAAGTGAGAAATCACCCTGCAGGGGGGATGGCCACGCCACAATCCCTTCTCTCGGAATCTTGGGCACGCACACACACGCGCCTGGCATGAGTTTAAGCCACTGAGTCCGGGGCTCGAACCGCAGTTGACTACATGGGAGTTCAGCAACATAGCCATTATGCTAACTGCTGGTCCCCACGCTACTCTCTTATGTTAAGCTGAAAACTTTTATGATTGAAACAGAGAGCTGACAGTTGAAAAGATAAAATAAAACCAATAATACAGTTACAGTTGTTTATCATTATGTACTTGGATCTTGGGAAATAATAGAAAGCATTTTAGACCTGAGTAACAGGGACTAGCAGATGGCTTGGTGATAACATCCTGGACTCCCACATGGCTGACCACGGATTGAGACCCAGACCCAATGGCTTGAAAAAAATCACACTGGGCATGTGTGCATGCATGCCCAAGATCCCAGGAGGAGAATGGAGGAGGAATTGCAGTGTGGCCATCTCCCCAGTGAATGATTTGTTTTTTTTTTTTTTTGAGAGGTTTTCGCTATAGGGCGCTTGCGCTCACCAGACAGAGACATAGAGACAGAAAGCAAGAGATCACCCCCTGGGGGGGGATGGTCACGCCGCAATCCCTTTTCCTCCATTCTCCTCTCGGGATCCTGGGCATGCACGCACATAGGCCCGGCGTGAGTTCTAAGCCACCGGGTCCGGGATGTGAACCTCTGTCGACTATGTAGGAGTCCAGCGACATAGCCATTACGCTAACTGCTGGTTCCCATGATTTCTTACTTTCCCTCTCACTGTCTGTCTCCCTGGCTCTCTCTCCAGCAAGTGCACACATACACACACCCTAAGGCAAAACCTCTCAAAAAAAAAACATCTTACAGTTTAAAAAAAAAGGTACAACATGTAGATAAGTCATTGGTGATCTGCCTGGTAACTTCTTTTTTTTAAATAATTATTTTATTTAATTTTTAATTTATTCATTCATTTATTTTAATTTGACTAGAGAGAGAGGGAAAGTGAGAAAGCAAGCCACCAGGTCCAGGACTTGAACTATGGTCACCTGCTAGTCCCCCTGCCTGGTCACACTGTTACCCAAGGTAACACTGTTACTATTTGGCTTGTATGCTTTCATATTTTTCTACGTGCATATATACGGTTTTGTTTTGTTTTTGCTAGAGGGCACTTGGAACAGGGGTTGAGGGGGTGTTCTGCCCCCATGGGGATGATCACGTTGCAGTCCCTTCTCTGTTTCGCTCTCCTTTTGGGATTTTGGATATGCATGTGTGTGCCCTGCATGTTTCTCAAGCTGCTGAGTCCAGGACTCCAACCATGCTGACTACATGGGCTCCAGCAGCCTTGGCCCCCAGTCCGTACTACCATTCTGGCAATACCGATATTTTGATAGATGGTGATGTGCGCTAGTGAGCTGAAAATAATTTTAATTTTTTTATTATCTAGACTTCCATTTTCTCTCTCAGGGTTCTAGCTGTTCTGGATGACTTAACTGCAGGTTCTGCTCAGAGATTTAAGAACTCATCATCGAACCAGGAAGAAAAGGAGGCAGTATCCGTTTTGCACCCACAGCCAGTGTATCTAGTTGTTTTACAGGTTGAAAAATTTTAGAATTCTGTCCAAACAAGTGTCAAGAGATGATGATAGCCAGACCAGCAGGTGGGATGGAGGTTAAGGTGCTGGATCCCGCATGGTCAACTGTGTGGGTAGAGTCCCAGACCACTGGCTTGAAAATCATGCTGGGGATGTGTTGGTGCATGCCCCAAATCCTGAGAGGAGACTGGAGAAGGTATTGTTACGGGGCCATCCCCGTTACGGGGGGTGATTTCTCACTTTCTATCTGGAGAGCATACATGCCCCAAACTGAGGGGCAGGTGGGGGGGAGAAGATAGCCTTTTGATGCTTCTGGAAGTTGTCTTTTGATGACTAAAGCTTTAAAATTCTGTTCTGGCCAATGCCAGTTAATGGTGTAGGCGCAGTCATGGGAAAGGCACTGGCACTGCTGCCTTAAGAGGTTTTGAACCGTTGGATGTGATTGCGAATACTGACTTGTTACGATAAAGATCTATTTAGTAAACGTGTATTTATGTATTTATTTTTTATTTTAAAAAAGAATTTTCTTCCTTCCTTCCTTCCTTCCTTCCTTTCAATTTAACCAGAGAAAGATAGAGAGAAAGAAGAGAGAGAGGGAAGTGAGAAAGCAAGCTTCTGGGTCTGGGACTTGAACTGTGGTTAGCCATGTGGGAGTCTGGCGTCTTTAACCACCATGCCACCATAAACATGTATTTACTATAAGCCTGCATGAAGTGGCCTTGGGAACAAAATCTTGAACTACGACTGTGGGAATGGACATGAGTAGAATTGGAAACACCAGAGGAGTTGTGTCCATGGCCTACAAATCCTAATCGAACAGCAAGTGCAAGATCAGATATGGTTATGTCTGGGGCTTCAAGTCGGAGCGCTGTTAATTGTGGTGCTGTTATCAAGGGAAGCAATAGGGGATTATTATGAGGGCATATCGTCCCTTCTTGTTTCTCAGAGTCATTTACATGAAGAAAGACTCAATCACTCGTTGGATTGAATGAATCTGCATCAAATTCTTTACAGTCCCTTAGAATGTATTCATTCAACAGATACTGTGTCAGGCACTGTTCTAGACAGTTGGGATATAACAGTGAACTAAACAGATAAGATTCATGCCCTGAAAACAAATAGAAAACCATCTTTCTTTTCTTTTCCTTTTTTTTTTGGTTCATAGTTATTTTAGGGGCCAGCAGGTAGCGTCATGGTTAAGGTGTTGAACTCCAGCATGGCTGATCACAGTTCAAGTCCCAGACCTGGTGGCTTGCTTTCTCACTTTCCCTCTCGCTTGCTCGCTCTGTCTCTGGTGAGCATATATGCCCTATAGCAAACTTAGTGATAATAAATTAAAATGAATAAATAAAATTTAAGAATTATTTTAATTTGCTGTAAAGCATGTGTGCTCACCAGAGAGAGTGAGAAAGTTAGTCCTCACCAGGTCCGAGTTTCGAACCCTGGTCAGCCATGCGGGAGTCCAGTGCCTTAACTGCCACATCACCTGCTGGTCCCACCAGCTTTATTTTCTAACTTTCATAGTCTGTCCTTAGATGCTTAGACATTATTGTATTCTCATTTGCATTTTCTGGCCCTTCAGATCAAATTAGGAATTTCTGATAAAGCAGTATTTGAATTAAAATTAAACAGATATCTGTTGAAGGCTAAGGTGTTAATTTTTCCACAAATTCAGTCTATGATGGAAAAAAATTGGTGTCAGGTAATGTTGGCATTTGGGGTAGAATTAATTTTCCTTATTTTAATCAGTTTGAACTGAGATAACTCTCTTTTGCCCTGTCAAGATTTTAAACTCTTACCCCTTTGATTTGTGTCAGGGTGAACCATTTGATGTAAAGGACTTGACTCCATAATCTGCAGCTGCCCTCATGCTGTCATCCGGAGTAGAGACTCAGCCAGTTGCACTTGATTCCTCCATGTCTGCCGTGGTACAGGAATTATACTCTGAGCTCCCAGTAAGTGTCTCCAAAGAGCTTCCTTCTGGCTCTGAGCCAAGTGTGATTCCAGATGTAAAACCTGGGGCCTCAAGTTCTCCTTTAAGTCCAAGTAGGACATTGCCCTTGGAGCTGCAGAGGACTCATGTGGAAAGTTGCTGTGAAGAAACCCCCGAGACCTTGGATCATGGGAGTGAGGCTGGGTGGTGTGGGCCAGTGGAGGTTCCCACAGCAGGAGGTTCTATGGCTTCTGGAATCTCAGATAGAGAAGAGAAAATCAAGAACACGGAACTGAAGGTCTTTAGAAATCAAGGGGACCAGGAGGAAATTGTAAGAGACCCGTCCTCTGAGGGTGCAAAGGAAGACCCATCACATCAACATTCCACAGCTGCTGAAGAAAAGATCAGTCCAAGTCAGGTAAGAAGTGAGAACTTGATTCAGACACTTTTCAGGGGAATTCTTCTGTAAAATGCAGATGCTGACAGGTAACTTATGATATATTCTGGAAACATTCCCAAAATGTTGCTTTTTGGTGTTAACTCTTTTTGGAGAGGTTTTCTCTATAGGGCACGTGCGCTCGCCAGAGAGACAGAGAGAGACAGAAAACGAGAAATCACCCCCAGGGGAGATGGCCATGCCGTAATCCCTTCTCCTCCATGCTCCTCTCAGGATCTTGGGCACGCATGCACATGCGCCTGGCATGAGTTTTAAGCCACCAGGTCCGGGACGTGAACCGCGCGGTCTGCGGTCAACTACGTGGGAGTCCAGCGACATAGTCATTACGCTAACTGCTGGTCCCAAATTTGGCAACATTTAACAAAAATGCTCAGGCCCTGGTCTATTGACCTAACACTCTTGTTACTAAGAATCTATCCTGCAGATACACTTCCAATGGTAGGAAAATACATATACACAGGTTATTTTTTGTAGCAATTTATAATTGCAACATGTTGGAAATTACCCACGTGTCCATGTAGAGGAGAGAGATTGAGGCAACTATGGAATATGGTATATAGTAGCTCCATACATAGGTACTGCACAGAATAATAAAGAATATGGAAGGTCTTTGTACACTAATGTGGAATAAGTTCCAGGGGCATCAGAGGACCCCAAGACAACCTCCAGGTTTCATGATTCACTAGCAATCGGACTCCACCCGGAGTTGTACTCACAGCTAAGATTTATTACAACGGAAGGGTACAGAGAAAATCAGCACAGGGAAAGGGGGCACAGAGCTAAGTCCAGAGGAAATGAGGTGCAAGCTTCCAAGAGCCTCTCCTAGTGGAGTCACGCACACTGAACCTCCTCTTCTAACAAGTGACAACACATGCATGATGTCTTCCATGGAAGCTGGTTAGAGAGTCCGTGCTGGGGCTTTTACTGGAGACTCATCATATGGGCAGCCTCTGCTTGTCACATCCTCAAAGTCCAGACCCCCAGCATGAAAGCAGATGTGGCACGTAACCCACGTTGTTGGACAGGCACAGTGAGACATTCTTCTCATTTAGGGAATGCGGAAAACTCCCAGATCTAGTACTAAGGTGCTAGTTGAGGTCAACCTTGTAAGTAGGCCTTTCTAAGGGTAGCTAGCCAGGCCTGCTGTGTTGACTTTTTTCCAAGTTAGTTTATTTCTTTCTTTCATAGGAGAGAGACAGGCAGACACAGCCAAACAGGTCTTCATGCTGTGATCCATCCCTAGTCTCGATCTCAAGTCGAAGCTGGCTTGGATTATTGGGCATGCATGCCTCCAGCATGCTCGAGGTCCCAGGACAAGAACCTAGGGCCTTGCCAATGTGGGACCTGTTATGTTACCACTGTGACACCACTTGCCTCACATTGATTCTTTTCTGCAAACTCGGATATCCTGTTAAGTGAAGTATGCAAAGTGCAAATGATTATCTGTAGTATCCTCTTTTTTTAAATTACTATTATTTTTAAATAATTATTTCATTTAACTTAATTTTATTTATTTATTTATTTCAGTTTGACCAGAGGGGGACAGAGAGAGAGAAAGTGAGAAAGCAGGCCACCAGTCTGGAACTCGAATCATGGTCAGCCATGCGGGAGTCCGGCACCCTAACCACCACGCCACCTGCTGGCTCCTACCCTCTTTTATACAAGAAAGATGGGAGACTGGGACCAGCAGATCACATAATGGTTACATTGCTGGACTCCCACACAGTGGACAGCAGTTTGAGTTCTGGATCCAGCAGCTTAAAACTCACACAGGGTGGGTATGCATGTGTGCCCAAAACCCCAAGAGGAGAATGGAGAAGGGATTGGGACGTGACTATCTTCCCTGGGGCTGATTTCTCACTCTTTGTCTCTCTCTGTCTCCAGTGAGTGCACATGCCCTGTAGCATAAAATCTCTCTTAAAAAAAAAAAGAAAACATGGGAGACTAAGAGTGTGTACAGGTACCTTCATACTTGTATACAATCCACATGTGAACACAAGGGAAGGATGAATCACACAGTAATGGCTTTGGTTACCTGTAGGAAGTGAATGGGAGCAGAGTGGGAGGATTGAAAATGGAATCGGAGGAAGTGAGGCTTCTGTTAACTACACCTCTCGCAGCTGCTTTTTTTTTTTTTTTTTTTTAGTTCAGGCTTCTTACTGAAAAAAACGAAATAGCTGATTAGACAGGATGTGGGGAGGGACCTAAAATTGGATACAAACTGTAACAACAAATCTAATTGTTGCAAATGAATAACAAAACCACAATAGAGAGCTGGGGTAGGTGGCCCTTGTAGCCGGAAATGGTACTTTGGCTATGTACTTTTTAAAAAAAAAATTATTATTTTATTTAGCTTTATTTATTATTATTGTTTTCCAGTTTGGTCAGAGAGAGACGGAGAGGGAAAATGAGAAAGCAAGCCACCAGTCTGGGACTTGAACTGTGGTCGGCCATACTCCTTTAATTGCCTCATCCCCTGCTGGCTCTTCACTATAGACTCCTAAAACTAAAGCCAGCAAGCAAGCAAGAAATCAGTCACTCACTCACTCACTTACCCACCCAAGAAATTTTAGTAAGTTTATTTTTCATAGGGGTACGATTTAACATTTCCTAAATAAAGTAGTTGTGTGTATTCTAGGATTGAGCAGACAAACAGATATGACGAGGGGCTGCAGAGTAGCACAGCTGTAAAACTTGATGCTTGGCAAGGCAATCCCACATGCAAAGATTCTTGGTTCACGACTGTAGATCTCCTTGAGTACCCTGGGCACCCGTGTCCATGATCTGGGGCTGGCTGAAGGCCGATGGTTGCTTGTGGCATCGAGGCCTCGTGGGGAGTACTGTCTCTGTCTCACTCATGGAATAAACAAATGAATTTAAAAAGATAAACCTGAGGGACCTCCAAAAGTTCATGGAAAAATGGGATTAAAATGTGAGTTTGGGGCCAGCAGGTGCTGTGGTGGTTGAGGCTCTGGACTTCCGCATGGCCCACTATGGTTTGAGTCTCAGATTTGTCAGCTTGCTTTCACTTTCTCTCTCTCTGTCTCTGGTGACAGTAAATTAAAACAGTAGTAGTAAGATTAATGATTTTTTTTAAATGTGAGTTTATTTTGGTGTAGAAAAATTTAACATCCAGGCACGGTTTTTCATAATATACTTTTCCTATAAACTTTTTGAAGACCCATTATATATTGTGAATAATGAGAGGCGGCTTTCTCATTCTCAGAGAAAGAAATGACAAAGACAGCAGGGGAAGCTAGGATGAACCCTATGGTGCTGAATTGGAATTAGTGTTATGAGCATGAATTTAGAATGAACCCTGTGGTGTGCAATTGTAATTAGTGTTATGAACATGAATTTAGTAGGGGTTTTTTGTTTGTTTGTTTAAAGAGATTTTTGTTATAGGGTGCATGTGCTTTCCAGAGAGACCAAAAGCAAGAAATTACCCCTCCAGGGGGTGGCCATGCTGTAATCCTTTCTTCTCCATTCTCCTCTCAGGATTTTGGGCACATATGCACACATATTCACTGTGAGTTTTAAGCTGCTGGGTCCGGGACTCAACTGTGGTTGGCTACATGGCAGTCCAGAGATATAACCATTACGCCATCTGCTGGTCCCAAATTTAGTGTTATTAATAAGTATACAAATACTGGCTTGTGGACTTGTGAGATAGGGCCTATAACAGTAGCAGATACCTTATAGCACCGAGCACACCCTAGTGCCCAGCTCCTGATTTCTAAATATCAGTTTCCAATATCCAATAAAAGGAACTGAGATTTCTTGGAGAAATGGCTGCCGTAGGGTCGGAGAGAGAAAAACAAAGACGAGCATAGAATAGTTTGTGTTGAAAGGCTCAAATAATAATGGGGACGTATCACATCAGAAGGTCATAGGAGCCAACTGAACAGGCTCTCAGAGGCCAAGACTGGCATCATTTGAGTTTAAAATAAATGAAAGTGATGGAACCAGCAGTTAGCATAATGGCTATGTCACTGAACTCCCATGTAGTTGACCATGGTTTGAATCCCGGGCCCGGTGGCTTAAACTCTGGGCGCGTGTGCATGCGTGCCCAAGATCCTGAGAGGAGAATGGAGGAGAAGGGATTGCGATGTGGCGATCCCCCCCGGGGGGTGATTTTGTGCTTTCTGTCTCTCTGTCTTTCTGGCGAGCGTGCACGCCCTATAGCAAAAACCTCTCAAAAAAAAAAAAAAAAAGAAAGTGATGAATGATAACCCATAGACTAAAACAATCCAGAGTTCATGCTGGTATGAAATAATTAAGGAAGTCAGTAAAAAATAAATAATGGGGCTAGCAGTTAGCGTAATGGCTATGTCGCTGGATTCCCATGTACTCGACCGCGGTTCGCGTCCCAGATCCGGTGGCTTAAAACTCACACCGGGCACATGTGCGTGCGTGCCCAAGATCCTGAGAGGAGAACGGAGGAGAAGGGATTGCGGCGTGGCCATCCCCCCCTGGGGGGTGATTTCTCTCTTTCTGTCTCTCTGTCTCTGTCTGTCTGGCGAGCACACATGCCCTATAGCAAAAATCTCTAAAATAAATAAATAAATAAATAAATAAATAAAAGATCTTACAGAATTCCAATTAATAAACAAGGAAGGTGGGCCAGGTGGCGTGGTGATTTAGGTGGCTGGATCCTACATAGACAACTCTGCAGTTCTACTTCCAGACGTGGCAGCTTGAAAAACTTGCCTGGTACATGTGTCTGTGTCCCCAAAGTCCTGAGAGGATCTGCCAAGGCATTGCTGTCCCCATGGTGATGGTTTGCATCTCCTGTTGTTAAGAGCATGTGGCAGAGAAGTCCTCAAGCACTCATGGCAGGCAGGTTGCTGGACTTATTAAGATAAGATTTTCTCTTAATTATTTCAGCAGTGCTTTTAGATAATTCATTGTGGGTTTGTTTGTTTGTTGTCATAGGACATATGCGCTCACCAAAGAAGGAG